GGGGAAGGAACTTGGCGAGATAATTAACTGTTCCGAGGATTCTCCTGACTCCAGCCACGTCTGTGGGTTGCTTCATTTCTAGTATGGCTTGTACTTTAGCAGGATCCGCTTGGACACCGTCAGATGTAAGAATGTGGCCAATGTATGGCATTGAGGTCTTCTTCAACTCAATCTTGTTTGGGTTAAGCTTGATATGTTTAGCTCTGCAGCGGTCGAATAGTTCCTTGAGCTTTCTGTCATGGTCGGCTACAGCTTCCTGCATCGTCTCTCCATTTCCTATTACTAAAATGTCATCAGCAACAGTCCGTACACCATCCAAGTCCTCAATTGCTTGGTCTAGTCGTTGCTGGAAAATCTCTCCTGCAGGGGAGATCCCGAAAGGCATCCGTTGCCATTTAAATCGTCCAAATGGAGTGTTGAACGTCGTTAAAAGAGACGATTCTTTGTCTAATTCTACTTGCCAATATCCGTTGCTACAGTCGACTTTGGTAAAGACTTTTGCATTGGACAGTTCTGGAAGTACGTCGTCAATTGTCGGTATTGGATGGTGGCATCGTTTCAGCGCTTTATTGAGTGGTCTGGGATCGAGGCATAATCTAATTTTGCCATTGGGTTTTGGTGCAACAACAATTGCGCTGACCCAGTCTGTTGGATAGTCTACTCGTTCTATGACCTCAAGCTTGACAAGTTCGTCCAAATGTTCTCGCAACGACTCTGGGATTTTTCTTGGTGGGAGTTGGACAGCCGACATTTCAGGATCAACTTCAAGATGCAGTGCTGGACCTAAGGTGCCAAGACAGGGGTCTTCATACCATGGGTTGCGACCCAAAATTGGGTCGCTAGCACACCCTCGAAAGTCGCAAGGCTTGTCTTGGGTCGCATGGGTCGCAATGCTTGTCTAGGGTCGCGAACTTACACTAGTAAACTTTACAAGACGAGAGATCAAGTGATAAGATGCACATATTTACATATGAATATTTCCTTGCGAAATTTGCGATTATAATGTTTTTTCACGATTATTATGAAGCACTCAAGCGCTAGATTGCTAGAATAATATGGTAAACAGGTAAACTGGTAAAGCTTTAGATATAATACCTGTTACTTCATGTAACTCAAACATTATGGCTTAGCACCACTCGGCGCGCCTTCGGCGCACGTCGTCTTCCGAAGTAGAGTCGTCGTCATACACTCGGAAGCTTTCGGTGAAAAGCCATAATGTTTTTAATTATCGAAAGTTTTATTTGCATTTGATCATTTTGATGTTATGAAAATATATTGAAGGTAAATTAATTGACATATTTTACTTCTCAGCCCCCTGTGGCTGCATAGCAGTTTATTAACCCTTCTTTCCCGTGAAGTCAAGACATGGTTGAGTGATTGGGACGGATTAATAAGATGCCTCCTAAACGCAGCATCGTCGGGCGTTATGTGTAAAATGTCAACACGTATATGCAGCAGAGTCTATAAAGCCCAACAAACTTCAGCGCCATTTAGAGACACATAGAAATATATTCGCTTTGTCGGAAGATGCTCGCAAGCGAGTATTCGAGAAACTTGCCGCCAATCTTAATAAATCACAACAAATAATGATGGGAAGTTTAAATGACGAACAGAAAAGACAAATATTTGTTCTGAAAACGGCCTTCCTAATCGCGAAATCCAAACGACCGTATGTCGAGGGTGAAGTAATGATAAAGCCGAGCCTCCAGAATTTCGTCGAATTGTTTGAGGGTGAATCGTTCCACAGGAAAGTGAAGACAGCGGCCGACAGCGTAACGCTGAGTGATACGACAGTATGGAGAAGAACTGTTGATTGTGCAAATGATATTTCACAGCAAGTTATTTCAGATTTCAAAGAATCGCCCCAAAAGAGTATTGCCTTGGATGAATCAACTGACAATACTTCGCAGCCACAGCTGGCATTATATGGGAGGTATATAAGTCCACGAGAAGACTTGAAAGAGGAGTTACTTGAGGTACTAACGTTGGAAACGACGACTAAAGGACAAGATATTTTCGATATTGTTAGCAGATTTTTCGCGTTGAGTGGCATTGAATGGGGATCCATCAGAGAAAGCAACATGGACGGTGCACCAGCTATGATTGGTAATATGAACGGATTTAAAGGGCGAGTGAAGGGAGTGAATCCCGACATGAAATTCAACCACTGCATTATTCATCGGCAAGCCCTTGCGAGCAAGGACCTATCGGTCGAATTTGAAAATGTGATGGTCATCATAATCAATGTGATCAATTTCGTGAAAGCGAGAGATTTGAATGCACGCCTCTTCAAAAAAATCTGCGAAGAAAATGATGCCGAATATGAAACCTTGCTATTTCACAATACTGTGAAATGGCTGTCACGTGGTCGCGCTCTGAAGCGGGTGTTCTTACTTCGAGAGGAACTTTATCAATTTTTGACAGAGAAGGGGCATATAAATGCCACTAAATTCAACGATCCTCATTTTTTGGCTAAGCTGGCGTTCTTGACTGACGTATTTACTCATATAAACTTCCTCAATACAAATCTACAAGGACGGGGAAAGTTTGTGTTCGAGTTACACAACAGCATCCGTGGTTTCATAAACAAGCTTGGCGTGCTACGAGAAGAAGCAATCCAGGACAATTTTATACACTTCGAATGTTTCTTGGAACTGATCTGCTTTCTCAATGATGACGATATTGACTTCACGCCCGAAGTCCGGATTCTGTGCGACTATTTACAAAAACTTGCAACTAATTTCCAAGAACGATTTCCAGGTCTAGAGATGGAAGATTTCACAATCATACAGGCGCCGTTTACCGGAAAACTACGCGGAGAGTTTGCAATGGAACTGAGCCAACTCCAAGCGAACCCAGTTGCCAAACTGGAATTTGATTCAGATCTATCAAAATTTTGGCTAAGTCTCAGCGAAGAACAATATCCAGAACTGAAATCAATGGCTCAGAAGGTATTGGTGAGATTTGGAACCACATATGTGTGCGAATCAGTTTTTTCCGCGATGACGTTCATTAAGAATAAATACAGAAGCCGCCTGACAAATGAGAACTTGTCGATTAACATGAAGCTTGCCACAACATCCTACATACCGAGATATGAAAAAATTGTCAGGGGCAAAAAATGACACTTGATACGAAAGTTAAGAACTCTACAATCGTTATTAACGATAATTCTAACAGTTGAGTAATACTGTCGATGTTATATAGCTGTAATAAAAATAATAATGTTTCAGCACTCGACTATATTCTTGATTCAAATTTTGGCAGTGTTCAGGGTCGCGGGACACCTATGAAGCTTGGGTTTCGGTCGCCGAAGAAAAGGGGTGAAGACCCCTGTGCCAAGACCTTCAAAAACATCTTGGTATGTGTCCTTGACGTTTTGCATTGTCAGTCCCATTTGATCAGGCCGAGTTAGGTCTTCATTAAGTTGATCGACATGAATTGGGCTCCCAATTTGAATCAAATTCATTTGTTGCACGGTGCGGCAGCCAAGAAGGTTACTTTTTGCATTCTGGTCATCAACAACAGTGAATGGTACTTTGAACTTTTGCTTTGTAGTTGGGTCTTGTACTTGTATTTTGCACTTTCCAAGGGGTGTGAGTGATGAGTTGTTGTACATCTTTAGAACATGTGCCGTAGGTTTGATGCGCCGTTCATATTTAGTGCCTTTTAATTCACTCCTTTTTAGGACATTGCAGGTTGCCCCTGTATCGATTTGAAATTTGGTTGTATTCCCCCCTTTTATTTTCATGGTAGCAAAAATCCGTGATTTGTAAATGTCCGGTTGGTGTATTGTATTGATGGTATCATTCTCGGTGGGGTCTAGTTCGACAGTCATAAGGGAGTCGCCTGAATCACTTGAGTCGTTTTCACTTACTGCGTGAAGAGGCTTTTGGCGGGAATATCTTCCTTTCTGCATACAAACTTTGGCGAAGTGATTTTCGCGACCACAATTTCGGCAGCGGCTTCCAAATGCAGGACATAATTCCTTTTTTCGTTGGTGCATTGTTCCACAATATTTGCATTTAATTTTGTTATCACGCCCCCCGTCACGCCTATCAAGTCCGATACGCCTGTCATCGCGTCTTCCGGTTCCTGTGCTTCCGGTTTCGGTTTTGTTGTTTACAATGGCGTTGATTTCACCCTCATTTGCTTCACTGTTCGCCTGGATTTTCTTGACTTGTTTCTTCGTGGTCTCGCTACTGCGACAGATGTCGATGGCTTTCGTCAAGGTGAGTTTTCGATCTTGCAATAGCTTTTTTTTGAGTTGCATTATCGTTGATTCCTATGACCAGGCGATCGCGTATCAAAGAATCTCGTAAACAATTACAGAAATTACAAGATTGTGCCAATGTTCGCAGTGCTGTTACGTATTGGTCGACTGTTTCGTTTTCATTCTTTTGTCTGCTGTTGAAAACGAATCTCTCATAGGTTTCGTTTGTTTCACCTAAGCATAACTCTTTAAATTTAGTTACAACAATGTCAAATTTCGTGCGGTCTTCTTCCGAGGAAAAATCTAAGCCCTCAAAAATTTCCATTGCGTCCTCGCCGATGCAAGAAAGGAACGTTGCTGTTTTGAATTCATCTTCAAATCGGTTAAGTCTTGCCACTATAGCATAGTTATCCCAAGATCGCTTGAATTTCTTCCAGTTTGAGGCAAGGTTTCATTCAGTTTTTAATGGCTTAGGCATGGCCCAATCTCGTTCCCCGAGCCTGCGATCCTCGGGAAGGAATCGAAGGCTCTGCGATAATCCGTTACCGGAAGCCAAGAATCCTGGCTAAGATTGAACTACGCATTCCATTTCAATGGCCAATCAGATTCCTCCCTGAAACGGATTATCCCAGAGCCTCGCGTTCCTTCCCGAGGATCGCAGGCTCGGGGAACGAGATTGAGGCATGGCCAAGCCCGCTGGCAATAATGGTTGACATGCCGAGGCTGTGTTCGGCGTGTTTTCTGCTTCGCTACCGTTCGCTTCTTCTGTCATTTTCAATAATGTGAGCTGGCTTCTTTTAAACTCCTGACACTATGTTATTTGCTTCTCACTTTCATTAACTTTTGATAGTTTTATTTCTTATAGTATAATTCGTATAATATAAACTCATAACATGTATATACTCTGCCTCTAAAATCCCGTGTCCTACACTATATTTCGCGCCCTTTTTCTTCGTTCCCAGTTTCCCCTGTCCGAGCAAATAGAACTAAAATATTAATGTCAACAGTAAATGTCCAACAGTGTTGAAGAGAAATATAGACATTGATGTCGTCCAAAAGCACAAATTTATCGTAATCTCTCCTTGCTTCGACTAAAAGACTTTCATATATCGAGTCATTGATATACTATAGATAAATTTTTAATTTATACCGGAAATAGGAAACAGCAATAGGAAACACGGTAATAGGTAATAGCCCGGCAGGGAACATAGCAATAGGAAACACGGTAATAGGTAATAGCCCGCCAGGGAACATAGCAATAGGAAACACGGTAATAGGAAATAGGTTAATAGGGAACACAGCAATAGGAAACACCGGTAATCCCCGAGCCGACGGCGCGAAGCGCCGTGCGAGGGTACTAATTCCCCCCGACTATTTACACCCAGGGAAACGAAAGCATTAGCGAAGTCTAAACTTCATCAAATATCGCGGGCGTGGGTCACTGTGCGTGGGTGGTCATCCTCACTGATCTCAAAAATATGGCGGACTGTCATGAATAGCGAACACTGTGATTGGTCCAATTTAAAGTTTGCATTATAACGACTGCATGACGACAGCGAAATAGCAAACATTTCTTGATTTGATGATTGATAAATTTCTTGCAAATATTCTTCATTGTTGCTCGCATTTTTGCAAGATTTTGTAAATTTCAAGAAAGAAAGGGCGAAAGAATCGGCTAAAAGAGGGGAGCCGACGTTAACGAAGCTAGGTAAGTTTGTTTTAAATATTGATTTTATAATTGCTTTAAAACCCGACGGCCTTTACGTATATGAAACAACTAAACAAGACAGCATATAATTTCATTGTATCTTTAATATTGATTGCCTTTTTCGTTATATTGAATTTTTTAAATAAATAAAAAAGAAAGCAAAGTTATTTGCATGCGAGAATTTGAAATCATTTTATTGCAAACTCGAAGTTTATCGAAGCCATTTAATTAAAGGCAGTTTTATAGTTTTATAAAGAACACTTTAAAACGTTTTGCGAAGCGTTTGTGGTTAAATTTTACCTTATATTGAAGGTTATATTAAGTATAATATCATACCTAACGTATATATGTTGGGAAATTGATAATTTTGTAATTAAAAGTGGTATTTTTAGGCGATTTTTCATTTGTAAGAATATTCTTAAAAAATCATCGTGTTACCAAAGATTATAGATACGATAAAGATGTGCCACTCGACGTATTTCCCTAATGTTTGCGTGTCCGTAATTTTCCGTGCTGATAACGAGTGATCACGCGAGATGACGAGTGCTTATACTACTGCCAAAATGGCGGCGAGACTGATGGCGTTGGATTTTACTATTTAGATACTGATGGCGTTGGATTTGACACTTACTGGCAAAATGGCGGCTATAAAAAAATCTCGGACATAATTTTCGCAGAATGGCACATCTTTATCGTATCTAATCTTTGGTGTTACCATAACGACTACTTTAGATACTTCATGTTCGGAAAATATAATGGTTTTGTCAGCAAGGCGAGGGTTTCTGCATGCATGTATTTTCTAGTAGGTAATAGCCGACCGGGGAACACAGCAATAGGTAACACGCTAATAGGGAACACAGCAATAAGAAACACGGTAATAGGTAATAGGAAACACGGTAATAGGAAATAGCGAAAAAAGTAGCTCTTGCAACCGACTTTTTCAACACGGAAATAGGTAATAGCAATTACACTCCTGGGCTTCCGTACATGCGATACAATTTGTACAGCGGATGACCATGTAAAAATAGCCTGCAAAGAAGGCGCGTCGAAGGGCGACAATATTTATACGAAAATATTACGAAAGTTTATATGGCTCGTTTACGTACTTAAAAACAGTGTTTTAGTGTTTTAATGCAAATTAGCAAACCAAAGAAGACAAAGATTACCTATCCACAGATTTTACAGCCATATACAGGTACGCAAGTCTCGAAAAGAATACTGCTGTGCTCCCTTGATTGACTCGTACAACTAGAATAGAAGCCACCATTTTGTTTTTATTTTAGGCTGCCTGTTCGCAGGCATGTATTTAAGGCGGACGCGACCTGAGTGTTTAACCCACAAACTGACTCGATAGCAATGTATCTATGCTTCGCACAGATACAAAAAGGCTCTTTTAAGGTGTGTGTTTGTGTGGGGAGGGGGGGGGGGCGGCTAAACAATCTGCAATCCCTGCAATAAAGACTTATCAGTCAATTATTATAACCTGTATATGCGTCTATTTCAAAACATATGTATCCTTCTAAACTAAAATATCTCTATTAATAAATTGGCAATCACAAAAATCGACAATCCTAAAATCCTATCAACGTAATCCATATAATCATATTTTTCATGCGCCAATATTCCGTAACCTCCCCTCAAATAGATAGATTACCAAATTCCAAAATAAAAGAATAGAATACATGCATGCTCATTTCCGGTTGCTCTTGAGGGTTCTGGGAAACGAAATACTCAGAAATTTAAAGCGTCTAGTATTGTTGTCATACAGATGAGAGTTTCAGGGTTATCCTGACTTGCTAAGGCCTAAGCGTAACTCCGTGGCTGTAGAAAGTAGAATTCTTCCAACTTGAATAAATCTAACTTTGTGCATGAAGAATGGCAGGCCAAATCGAATACAGTGATGATTCAAACTCAAAGCTTATCGATAACGAGCTCGCTCTGAACGTTGCTATTTCGGAGCTTAACCAGTATAAACAAACAAGTAATAATCTTCTAGCTGTTGACTGTGAAGGGGTATCATTAAGTAGAAAAGGAGAATTGACAATTCTGTCTATAGCAACGAGAGAAAAAGCGTACCTATTCGATGTGCTCAAGATTGGTAAAGCTATCTTCAGCGGTGGACTGCAGGAAATCTTAGAAGACAGCACGCAAGAGAAGTTAACGTTTGATTGCCGACAAGATTCGGATGCACTCTGGCATCAGTTTAACGTCAAACTTGCAGGAGTGTTGGATCTTCAGTTGCTTGAAATCATGTATCGCCGTGAGAATCCCACATCTGAGAGTGCAAAGCCTTCCCCCAAGACTAAATTTGGACGGTATAAACGGCGCAGCCAGTTCACAGATAAAGTCGAAAAAATCTATGGATATCGGCGTTGTTTGGAGTTGTATCTCGAAGATGACAAATTGATTGAAGCGAAAGACAGTGGAGGCAAGCTTTTCAAGATAAATAATAAAGCATGGAAGGTTAGACCGTTGTCTGAAACGTTGATTCAATATTGTGTCGCTGATACCATGGGTATGTTCAAACTCTACGACAAAATGAAAGATATTTTAAGCAGTGTGGACGGCAAAACCAGACTAAAAATTGCCTCTGAAAAGTATGTCGAATTCTACCGACAGAAGGAGGAAAGGTCCTACGATGGCTACGAAACCAATGCTTTTCTTCCGCTCGACATCATTCCAGAGAAGGGAAGCACAAGTTTTCCCTTGTCAAATACGTCTTGTACCCGATGCAAGCGGCAATTCCCACGTGAGGAGTTCAGCGTTACCCAGCTGAACAAAGGCGAGCAGAAATGCAGGGTTTGTAAGGAGATAAAGCGTCTCGATGATGTGCAACGAAACAGGGAAGATAATTGGGCCCGATGTGATGATGAAGAATACATCGATTTCCCTGAATGTGGAAATGATTATTGCTTCACCTGGGGCTGTTCTTGCTGACATTATTTTTATGCGAATATATACATACAGCAGAGAGTAATATATAATATATGAAGTTCTGCTTGTGTAGCTGCACGAGAGAAATAGAACCTTAATTTTCAACTAAACGTATTTTACACGATTCGAACATACAGATCTGGTGAGAAATAGTGGACACGCGTGCATGTATCTTTATTGGTATGAAAAAGTAAGTCTATAAAGTTAATATCAGACAATTAATTTAATATGAAGTTTATACAATTTAATTTTTTAATATTTTTCATAGTTATTCCTTGTAAATTTGTTTATTTTATAGCTCAGGACCTTTCTGAAAATCACTTTGTGAGAAAGCTTCCTGAAAATCAATCAATAAAAAAAAATTATCCAACACACTGTAACACAGAATATGCCCATTTGCAGGTTGCGTGGTTGAGCCAGCACTAAACCTGCGAACGGGCACACTCTTGGTATGAGATTGACGATAATTAACATTCCAAAGTTGGATTACCTTTGCCCCCTCCGCACGGTAAGATTTTTTGCCCGCAACCAAATTCTGTCCGCCAATCCACATACAAGTGATGCTTGCGGTGGAAGCTAGGATTACCTTTTCTTATACAATATCATTCAGGAATTTGGGCACCTCACTAACGAATCCGGATATGTACAGTTTGTCACATTTTGAAGACACTGTATTCAAAAAAACCATGCAATGTGTGGTCGCTATGCTTTTAAATTTTAACTAGAAATGAATACAGTTTACAGTTTCAATTTAAAAGATGTCGAAACAAACAAGTGTTGTATTCTTATTAATTTTTGATAATCATGTAAAAAAGGGCAAAACTATCTATATTTACAACGCGAAATTTGGGTATTGTTTACATCAGAGGGTTCTCACATAACACATGCGCAGCAAGCGACGTTTTCATCAACACGGTTGTCAGCATGGGCGTAGGAACCGGGGGGGGGGGCACAGGGGCACGTGCCCCACCCCCAATTTTTCAAAGTGCCCTTTATCGGGATGAATAGTGCCCTTTTTGTAGAAGCTAATGACTATATTAACATCGAAGATGCCCTTTTTGTCTGGAAATATGATGATATTTTTTAAAAAAGTTGCTTAAAAACGTTCATTCTACGCTGGATATTAATAGGATTGTAATTATAACAATGGATTATATTAAGCCTAAAATGTGGTATGACCGGAAAAATTTTCTCCCCCCCCCAGCCTCACCCCCCCGTCGCCAACATTTCCGGGACAAAATGTTTAGGTGCTCTTTTCATTATACAAAACTGCCCCTGGAAGCCGCGGTGCCCCCCAATCTTTTGACGCTTCCTACGCCCCTGGTTGTCAGATTACCGAAAGGGGACTAGATTAAAAACTGTGTTTGTATCAGTTTGTGGTAATCATAAACACATCTGACAAAACAACACATCTAACCTTTTGTTGCATGCCATATATGGCATGCAACTTTCATATAGCTCTAAATTTCTTGTCTTTGTGAGCGAACCGGTGGCCATAAATTACGTGGCAGATTCGTAAAATACGACAAATACCGATTTTTTCCGACCAGCGTTTTCTTGTGTATCCGGGTTGCCAGAGGTTCTGTATCTTTCGCCTTATTCCCGCTCGTATTTATTTTACGCGAGGCGAAGAGAACCTCTGGTGGCACGCGATACTGACGTTTAGCCTCCTCCGCAGGCCTCTCTATGCCGTTGAGAATTTGCAAAACCGGTTTTATATTTTGTGACGTTTTTAAACTTCCGTGTTTGTCATACTACCAAAATAGCTCTCTTCAGACTGTTTGGCAGCCTTGTGTAAAATATTAAAAATAAGCAGCTCAAACATGTAGATTATTTATTAGAAACACGTAGATTATTGGCTCGCAACGCACAAAGCAAAAAGCAACCTTACTGATTGTGGAAATTTGTGGAATCCGTTTGTATTAGCGAACGTATGAAGTCAAAAGAAAGAAATAATATAAATATATAAATATTTATATAGTTTTTCGTTTTACCTGAAATAACCACAACAGTCTGTTTCATCCGTATAGGAATCATCAGGTGATTCCTATACGGATGAAACAGATTGTTGTGGTTATTTGAGGTAAAACGAAAAACTATATTACGCTCTATCTATATGGTATTGAGCACTGTTTGTGTTTCGTAAACCAAAACCTTAAGCTAAGCTAAATATTTATATATACATATATATATATATATATATATATATATATATATATATATATATATATATATATATATATATATATATATATATATATATATGTGTGTGTGTGTGCAACGGAGCCAGTATGTACGTTGTCCTTAACAGACAACGGAAAAATATTGGAAAAATAAATCATATTAATAATAACTATTAAAGTCAAAGAATTACAAAAATTTAAAACCTTATTTTACAAAAATTATTAAAACTGTAATAGAGTGAACATGTCATACCGTCAACTCAAGTTATGCCTCGATGGCAGCTCTTCTCCAGCGCAGAAAATCTTTTTATAGCGGAACAAACAAATAACCTACACCAAGTAAAGCATTTTAATACGTTCGTATTATTTCTGTATTTTGTTTACATCATGTTCTCTGAGATTTATATATGAAGTTTTTTAGCGGACTCTGAAATGTATCAATCGAGTTTATGCGCCTATAAATTAATGTTATGTGCTATACATTGATGTTATGTACAAATGCATCAATGTCATAAGCCGATACAACTAAAAGATAAACCGATACAACTAAAAGATAAACCGATACAACCAAAAGATAAACCGATACAACCAAAAGATGAGGAAACGGAAGTAAATACAACTAAAAGATGAGAAAGCGGAAGTGGTTGGAAAAACGGAAGTAGAGCGACTCGGCAAAATCGCGCGTGCCAAGTGGCGCCAGAAGAGAGACAGGGCAGAGTACCAAATGTTCAGGATTTTGTTCAGTCAATCTTAAGCGCGGTGACCAAATACAGCATTCTTCGCAAACACGTGAAGAAAACACAGTATCACAAGGTGGTTCAGTGCAGAAGTTCACATCGTTACCCGAAGAACTGAATTCTGAGGCTCAATTCTCGTTTCCGAATACCACGTACTCAGAATTCGTCTGTACCAAATAATGCGTCTGTGTATAAATAATGTGTGTATGATTCGGTGATTCTTGATATTGTTAAAACACTCAATATGCGTTCATACTCTTCTAATCTACGACAATAAAAGTCTGGCGAGTCACAATGAGTGCGACTTTGTTCAGCATTTCTTATTAATCAACCAATTCACAAAGCCAAATGCGTGGTCCAAGAGACGCCATTAGAGACCTTACGATTTTAGGACGGCCGCGCGATGGCGACAGCCAAAACAAACTCGATCCTTCAAATAAATGGTAGTAAAGATAGTTCGTCGTATATTATCAATAGACAATAGTATGAATTTAATACAGTTTTAGAAGTTGAAGACATGGGTTTTATAGTTGGGACTGAAGAGTTTTGCTAAACCCAGTTTGAAGTTGCACTTGTTCGGTGGCTTGGAATGCAGCCGTTGTATCAAGACGTGAAAATCTGTGATTTGGCGTTGTAAACCGGAGCGAAGACAATGTCTAAATATTCATATATTTATTCATATGGTTTATTCAAACCTTATTTAAATGTTAGCTTAAATTAATTGGGGGTAGGTAAAGCTTTACTACTAGAGAGTTTTAGATTGAGTAGATTGACGTTTGTCATTGTTACGGCAAACCGCAAACCGGTAGTCGATGTACCTGTTACAAGTTTGCAGTTCGGATCATTTTAAAAACGATTTAGATTTAGGCCTAAGGTTTTAACTTCCAAAATGTGAACTTAATCGGTGGGCAATAGCATTCCAATCCATTGGCTTTTGTGTCCGGCAGCTTGCAACCTCCCTAGCCAATGCAAAATCATGTTGTATGCTTGGCCAACGAAAGGGTTTCGTGGTCATGATATTTTTCCAAGTTCTGTATTAGACACAAGCAGAGTTTATATAAAGTTCGCAACAAAATTAGCCTAAGAGTAAAACTTTAAATCTCAAAATTATGAGAAAAACAAACTAATATAACAACAAAAACAATGTAAATCAGCTATGCATTTGGGCTATGCTTTTACCCGCCCTTTTGTTTATTGACATCGACTGAATTCGACACAATATTTCAGTGGAAGATAGTAGTTTCATATCCTTATTTTATGCAAGAAAGAAAGTCATCGACCATCAATGGACAACAGTCGATAATTCATTGATTGACAAATATCTCTCACGTGCAATCAGACCATTTTCAAAAGCATTTCGATACATACTGTCTCCTTGCAATAAAACACTGTCTATTGTAATCAAGTTAGAATTAACCCAAGGAAAAACAAAATGATGAAACAATTTGGTATATAAACTATGGAAAGAATCGTCAAGGTTCAATTATTACAAATGAGCATGAAGTTGGAGCTCCTTATGTTAACTTTGGTTCAGCTTTGATGAATACTTTTACACAAAGTAAGGATGCTATTTTGATATTAGATGGGTATATGATGGCCTTAATGCATGATATAAATTCCTTTTTCTATTTATTTGATCCTCATGCCAGAAATTCTTTTGGTATGTTTGACCCTAATGGTACTGCTGTTGTTTTTGAATTTTAAAATCGCAATTAATTCCCAACTATTTAAAGATGCGTTACAGTCCGATCTGCGCATGTGCACAAAGGAGCCCTCTTTTTATTATACAAACAGTTTATTTAGGTTTTAATTTCATTTTATGGTCTTGCAAAGCTTAATTGTTGTGTCTTGATAATTTATTATACTCTAGAATCATAAAAATATAAATAGTTGTCGAATAAAATTCAATATACCGACATGTAAACAAAGCCTTTGTTTACATACGGACTGTACCGCATCTTTAAACGTTTATTTCCAGCTTTAAGGCAGCACTTCACTTGCGGTAGTAATTACTAGTTTAGTTATAAATTTGTAAAGGAAATCTGACAGTCAATCGCTTTCGATAAAGCCTTGACCCACCTTGACCTTGTTATTACCGTCGCTTGCAACTAACGATGAACGGTTACTCATAAAAACATTGCCTATTCGCGCGAGAATCTTAAAGACCATGTAAAGTCCGTTATTCTGCGCATACGTTCTGCGTAGGCTTACATGTCAACGGTCGGGACCCGACCGTTGGAATGTTATTAATATTTCGTATCTTTTGAACTTTCTTGAATTGAATCTCTAGCCTGTATTCATTTACAAAGCATAGCGAACCAGAAGAGTGTTAAAAATTCAGAATAATATATATCTAACTGATATTTTACAACTGTAGCACTGAGTTCAAAATGTAAACAAAGCGTTTGTTTACATTACGGACTTTACATGGTCTTTTGGTCATTTTCTTTAATATTCTGACATAATAGCTATTTTTCAATAAATATATTGATATTAAACTTTTTGAATCAATATTTTAAGTTTCAAACCAGTTGTACCAAAGGTTATAAGCGCTATAGCGCATCATATTCAGGGCGTAAATGTGGGGGGGTGTGGTTCACCCCCCCAGAGAAATGTTCCAGTCGGTCTCAAACTAAGTGCAGTCGGTCTCAAAATTATGCGTTTGTTTACATGCAGTGCTTTGTGAAGCAAATGAAATATTTTCGCAACTCGAGATAGACTCAAACTATTGAGTATTGAGTTGGAAATTTGCTCAAACGGATCAAACAGCTCAGAAATAATATGAAGAAATATTACGTACTTATTTCGCGAGTATATGAACGAATTATCAGTCAAAACACGCGCAAAGGGATGAAGTTTCCATTTACTTTCCAAACATGGGTATCTATATGTCACGATTACGTGTTGGCACTTTTATTTGGAATTTAGGTTCAGCAAGGTCATTCACGGGTGATATTCTATATTAGCGAAAATTTCAAACCCCCAAAATCAGACTCCAAAATGCGACGAATCTCGATCAAAATAGCTAACATTAGTTACAATATTTCTCCGGTCCCTAAACTATATTTTTAAGATGCAAAGTGCAAAAATAGATTTCTAGCCGAGTTATATTAGGAAGTATGTTCACATGTAATACGATACGCATATGCATTTTGTTACCAAAGAGTTTTATGTGCCTACTGAATCAAGAAATTCGATCATTGAACGACGCACTGGTTTATCTGAAATCACGGAGCGAAAAATTGCTTCCACTGACTAGGCGATGTTTCCAATTGTTGCTATATGAGTCAATCGAATTCAAGTTCAATGACAGACTGTAGTTCTCTCCATGTAAAGAAGCATTATTCTTGCCCTACAGTGACGTAAGAAATGTGAGGCTGTGTGGGTGCACAAGTACCCCAATAACAAAAGTGCGGGCCAGCGCCCAAATATTACAACAATTGAGCACAAACACTTTTTTTATGCACCTGATCAATGATGTTCGACCAAAAATATTTGTAATTCTTATCCTCAGGATTGGGGGCAAACTACAGTATAAAATTATAGTCATTGTGTCACTGTTTATGAAATTGATTTTTCATTTGAACTGCTCCCAGAATGCAGGAAATAGCGTTTCTAAGCCTTAGAAAATCAAAAATTTTCTGGGGGAGCATGACCCCAGACCCCCCTCCCCAGAAGTGTCTCGGTCAATCAAAAATCCTATAGTTACGCGCCTGACAGTTCCTGTAACATCCGCATCAGCCGAGCGCAGCTTTTCATAGCTGAAATCAGTGAAAACTGTCATGCGTTCAGAAATAAACCAGGAACGCCTTGGTGAACTCTTGACTCTTGCGTGTGAGCGCAATCTAACAGACACGATCGATCTTGACGAAATCGCTAATCCGTGGTCAAACCTGACTAAGCAGTAAGCGCAGACACTTAATAAAAATATAACGTTTCACAGCAAACTGTACGTGTTCTTGCAAGATTCCTAATAAATGCCATCAATTTCCATGCTTTGTACTCGATTTATTGCAACACACCAAGAGTCGGTCTGGATTCGCATTTCAGTGTGGGTCGGTCTCATTTCGTGATTACACCCTCCCAGTCAAAATCGATATGTCCGCCCCTGATCATATTAAGGTTTCAGATGGCATACAACATGTACGCACTGCATCCTCACTCCTCACACGAGTGCTATGATGCAAAATGCCGCCAAAATTAGATATGAGTTTCGGGCTGTGAGCAGGCTAGTGACCTCCGTGTTGACAAAAACGTCGAGTGCTTGAGCTGACTATTGAGAGTGCATGAGAGATTGCAGTCACGCGACGTTGTCCAAGCTGGTGTTTGAATGCTTTCCCAACGCTATCATGTACTATATTTAAGTTGAAACATGATTGGAACGGTATCAAACTCAATCTAGAACATAAAATGTCCACTACAATAATGCATGACTGGCTCAGGCTGAGTGGCTGACTGCCAACTCTCGTCAACTCTCATCTTTTTTTGCCCGGGGATTAACACACGTCCTAAGTCCATCTAGAAAACCGGACTTTCGGCACTTTTTTTAGTTAACTTTACTGTTTAGACTTGCTACGAGTCGACTTGTATTATTTAGCTGCCGGGTT